CAATACCTATATGTTATTTTTAGGCTCTACGACAATTCTTTCTGATTGTTACAAGCTTCGTGGCAAACTAATTAACCCTGTTCAGGGTAAAAAATGAATTAAAAGAAGGTTTAAATTTACGTAAGAAATGAGTACAGCATACAAAGTGATCCCACAAACTTCCTTGAGGATGATAGAATATAATAGTATATTTAATTGAAATTTGCACTGCTACCTGCTTTCTAAAATGCTTTAACCTCTTTTTCGTTCATTCCCCACACTCTAATAAATTCAAAACATTTGCTATATGTATCTGGTAATATTGTGAGATGTCAGTGCTCTTTTGAAGTGTCATATACTGAGTACCTAATTGACTGTCATATAACTAAACTCGAGCTGTTAAAAATTTATATAATTATATTTCCTATAGTGTCCAGAAAGAAGAACAAAGCATCTCAAATAATATAGGATTATCATCAGTGAGGAGGAAACTCCTACGTCTCTGCCAGCCCAGAGGCAGTACCAGTAGCGCCGGAACTAGGCGATCTTGATTACCGAAACCGAAATAAACAAATATACAAATTATAAGAAACAAATGACAAGTTGAGCGACATTATCTTCAGCATAAAACTTTATTCACTATAAAAAATTTTAAAGCCCCAACTACCGCGCATACTACAAATATGGTTTAATTTTATTTTTATGCTTCTATTAATACAATCTAACACTAAAAATAACTAAATAAGTAACTATACATCAACAGAAATTGATATATTTACGCCAGTATATTTGCATAAATTAAATAATGAAAATTAAAGCATTTATATAAGCAGCATGTAGAAATGCATGTATTTGTTTGTGAATGACGACAATGCAATCTTTGTGGCGCTATAAAAAAAAGCGAAAGTATCGATGTTGGGTTTTTGCGGTCAGCTGTTGATTGGCGACATGCGAATGATTTTAGTTTTACGGCGGCTGAAAGTTGCATTAACAGTGCTGAAGGCCACCCGCTGCAACCCACCGACTATGTAAGTATTGAGAGGGTCAATAACCGACGCCAACAGCCGAGCGCATATTTTTAATAAACGAATCGATGTGGAGGACAAGCGCGTCACCACAAAAAAAGAAATGTATCGTAAGCTCACAGTAGACATTGTTTATATGTCTGATAGCAAATAAATCCCATTAAATTATTATGCTCTTTTTATATTACAAAAGCTTATAATGCGAACAGCTGTTTTGTGACATTCACTGTCACTTTTCGTTAAAAGTATGGACTTCCCTTTTTTGACGGAAATTTTTTGCAATTTTAATTATGTTTTTGTTATAAAATATGAGTTCTCTTTAAAATGTAGACAATATGACATATGTATGACTGTCAGCGTTATACGCCTTGTTTACTCATTCGCAATTTGTAGACTTCTGGTGGAAAGAAAATACAGACATTATTCAGCAGACCTTGAGCTGGAATCAGCATGCGCCCGAAGTTTTTCACACTTAATGCATTGAAATTTAAATTGAGATTTTGAAACTTTTCGCATGCAGCTGCTGATATCTAGAATATCATTTTCGAAACGCGTGTTTGTATGTGTACCCAATTAAATTTCACTTTTACAATTATTGCATGCGTACATTTTGTACTCGTATTTACCGAAAATTTAATTGCCCACTCATCATTCGGCGTTTTCTGTGTTTCATAGCGGAAGTTGAAAATAAAACACAAACCGCTGTTGTAAACGAAAATTTGCGTTTCACAAAGCGGCAGCTCATAATATAATAAATGTTTATAAAGGCGCTGTAAGGTGGGGCATCTGCCATGCGTAGGTAGATATGTGAACCTTACACTTGGGCGCAAGCAGCGCTCTCTCTTTAATGGCACATAATTCTATGTCGAATTTAATTCACACCTCGTGTAAATATTTATTTTGGTTTTAAATATAGACGAGTAATATAGCTATAACAGATTTATGTTTGCATTTGTAGGTTCTAAAATTTGATAGCAAAGAAAATCGGCGTAGTTAAAAACGCAAGGAAGTAAGTTAGAACGAAATTCACGACGAATAGAATTGATGAAATCGTACTTTAGAGGCATGTAGATATATCAACATAATAAAAAAAATGTTGACAATTGGACTCTCAAAACTCGCGAAATTTTAAAATTCATGTTATTTTCTGTACACTCCTCATATAGCCTCATGACACTTAATCGTAATAATCGAAACTAGCATGTTTTTTCAGTTGTGTCTATCTGTCTGTGCTCTTTCATCATTCTTAAATCAAGCTTAATGTTGAGCTTCGTTCAAGATTTGATGCCGTTGCGAAGATTTTGCTGTTGAAAAGTCAGTACACTGTTAACAAGCTCCACTTACTTCTTTTTATGCCCAAAATAACCTAAAAATTTTCCAACTTAGCAGCATCTACTTTTATCTCCCAACTATTTCATTTATTTCCTCAAAAAATCCACCAGTTGTTGAAATGCTGGGGTGTCCAGAGTATAAGCGTTCTTCTAAGCAACACTTATGAATATTTTCTTTACCTAGGGAAGACTCATGTTGTTCTTAACCGGATAATAATTTTTATCTGTTTGGGTTACGTAGAAACGACAGTTATGGAAACGGTGAACTCATCATATACATATAATGTCATATATTGTATATAATATCATATGTTGTATATAATTTCATAAGCTTTGCTGGTTGATGCTGTGAGCAAATCATCGTAGCGATTGTAGAGGCCGAAGAACATTTCGTATAAACGTTGACGCGAAATTTGAAAAGTCACCATAAAAGTCTATCATAACTATATAGAATTGTAGCTTATGAACAAATTTTTTCAATTTATTTAATTTCAAACAATTTCTTGTCTAAAAATATTTATAAAGGACTTCTTGTTGTGGCAAAAACTATATGAATTGAAATTGTGAGAAAATTTTCGAGCATGCACTTTGTGGCCCATTCACTTTTTGGCAATACAAAGTATTTAGTCCGTTGACAGTTTTACCCAATTTTGCGGGCATTTTTAATCATATAGTGAATGCTCGAACACAAAAAATTGTTTTTTTTTTTTGATATTTGTGCCCATTGATTGTTTGTTTGTTTGTGACACGCCTTTAAATAAGGTGATCGGCCAATTAAAACTTAAAAGTCACTTGCCATTCAAATACGTTTGATGCTTTTTAAAATGTGTGTCATGACTTGATTTAACGTGATTTTATTACAAGTTGTCGTAAACAGCCTTGAAATACTCTAAGTGGTTATTTGTTTGGTTTTTGAGCACAAATATTGAAATAATTTAGCATGTATAGACACAAGAACCGACAGACAACATTTTAATTTGCTTATTTTTATTCAGTTTTTGAACTATTATAATTCCAATGACCCAACGTGCACTTGAAGCAAATCGATTACTGCTTGTATAGTAATACTATTTATATTTCATATGCTCTTCTATTGTTTGACTGTTTGAGGCATTCTATTGTAATATTTTGAAAATTCAACATTGCCTTTTAAAATTGAATGTGGAAAATGCCACAAGCATTGATGCTAATGTGAACATACAAAACTATGCTCTCAAGTTCTAAAAGTTTGCATAAATGCTGTGGCATTAAGCGTTCGCTCAGCTGGTTCAAGGCTGTTACTTTTTAATGCTAGTATTTTGAATTAATAGCTGGTTTTATTTTTTTTACTTACTTCATGTTATATATTGTATATATATACATAGATATGATGAATTAATATTTTAGTTTTTTATGAGGAAATATATTGTATTTAATAGCGGCTATAAAGCAATATCAACCAACACGCACACATCTGCAAAGATATTATAGAAAGCGAATGCTTATTAAAAAAAACTTGCATTAATTTGCTTTACTTAATTTATTAATTAAAAGGCATACACATTGCTTGAGCAAGAATTTTAATAAGCAATGCACAAAAATCCTGCGGTTTGTATCTTGCCCCTTTTCTTATCATTGTTTATTTTGTGATAAAGAAATTGGGTGTCTACAGACAGAATCACAACAAGATTAAAGCTGTGGTAAAGCTAAAATATTGGCATTCGTTATAAACGTAAATATGCGTTACTCGGCGGCAAACAAAATCATGTGTTTGTTTACAGTTGTTTGTATAGGGTAAGAGACCGAAATTGATTAAACAAAAATTTTAAACTTTTTTTTAAACAATTTTATTTTTAAATTGATAAAATAGAAACGAATTTTTTTTTTTAAAAGAATTAAAACAATTAAGGTCACGCTATTAAAGCACCTGACCTCTAATGTAAACTTGAAATTAAGCCAATGTGCCATTGGGCTGCGCAATATCGCTTGTTGCTCATTTGTTTTTTTCATCAATTTCTTTATTTTTTTTATTTTTTGTAAATATTCTGCGCTTCACCCATGGCCACATTGCAAACCTCAGCTGTCAATTTATTAGTTTTTTGGCATTATAATTTGAAAAATGATTTCACATAATTTAAAAACCGCATAGAAATTGCATAGCAACTCACTATAATTGCTATTAATTAATAAGGAATTAGTGATTTTTTGCCAAAACTACATTTTTTTGCTAAAATTAAATCTCATTTGCATGCGAAAACGTTGAATCGTGCGTTTGGATTTAATGAACGGCTATTAAAATGATTGAAATGTTTTGTGAAAATTTCTAGCCGTCTCGGCGGAAACAATTTGGAATTGACCTCAATGATGTTAGCGTTGTTCAACATTATATATTTAATGTTTCTTAGTTTAAGTTTTGAAATTGAGTGATGGATCTATTAGCCAGCGCCAATTTGCATAAGTTTTTAGGTAATATTTTACATAAAACGGTCGGAATTTAAGCGTTTAGGTGTATAGGAGATTTAAATATATTATAATAAAACTTGTTTAATCTACTACATTTATGTATACGCTTTGACAGTTTGCAGTTTTTCCTTTAAACTCTGTTTTTTACTTATTAATTGTTGCTTATCACAATATAGCATTATATAACAAAAACTAATAAAACTTTATACTTTTTTATTTACAGTGCATCTGGAACAAGTGCAGTTGCGATCGATAATAAGATCGAGCAAGCTATGGTAAGTTCATATATGAAAATTTTTATAGTTTTAATTAAAATAAAATATTATTTGATCTTAAGAAAAAAACTTATGCGTAGTAAAGAATGATTTTTAGGTACCAAGTCCGTCTGTCTGTATATACGTGCACTAGTCCCTCATAGCAGAAATTTTGCAAATTTTACTTCCCTAGAAGCTGCTCATTTGTCGGAAACGCCGATATCGGACCACTATAACATATTGCTGCCATACAAACCGAACGTTCGAAATCAATTTCTTGTTTGGAAAGCTTTTTTATTTGACAAAATATATTCACGAAATTTAGCACAGATTATTGTTTAAGATAGCGGTACAATCTCCGAACTTATATAAATCAGATCACTACAGCTTATAGCTGCCATTTAAACTGACCGATTAAAATCAAAATAAAGATCTCTTTTTGTTAGAATATAACATATGACCAGATATGTTTTATATCTTTAAGTTCTAGCTTAATTTCTAGAATAAATAATCTACACGAGATTCTTTGAAAATATTTAATTTAACAACTTATGTACATATATACTGGTATATAGCTTTTTTCTAACAAAAAAGCATAAATACCAGATTTAAGAACCGATAAGTAATTGATTTTAGCTTTAAGTTATTAGATTTTAGTTGCTAATATCGAAAACATTCAGAATATAGTATGTATTCTTATATGAATTCGAAATTCTACACTTTGCTTTGGTTTTTATAAAAACAAAAACTTTTATGAATCTGCAAACAATGGGCTTGCCTACTGTATTAGCACTTCTAATATACATCAAAATCTACGTCAAAGTCTTAAGCACAAAGCGATGAGCCCAGCTCAATTACGACTTAAATTAGTACATACAAATTCACATACACATGTGACAAATGTTGACGTTGCCATAGTTCTAATTATTGGTTTGGCATGCAAAGTGTTAAAGACAACAACAACAACAACAAAATATATTTGTGTGAAATCAGATTGCAATCACATATGAATATTTATTATGTCAGTATATATGCATGTGCTCGTGCGTATAGTTGACTTGCAATGACATTATATAAGTGTCACGTTGCACACCGATTTGCAAATAAGTGCAATTATCGGAAATTTACTTGACATTTGCTTAGGATTTATAGCTGACGACTTACGTACTTTGCTCAAAGAACATATGCTAAGTTTAGGGAAAGCAGCAATTTGCTATTGACACATTTTAGAGGCCTTATGACGCCTGCTTTGACGCTTTGCTTTTATGTCGTGAAAGCTGTTTGTATCGTTTTGGGGTTTTATTGTTATTATTTGATGAAGTTTAAACTTGTAGTTTAGCAATTGTTTTTAATTATCTCTGCGTTAATCCAAGAGCATGTCAAGATTTCCATTAATTGAAGTTCAACTCTTCTATACTTGTATGCATATAGCGTCACCTAAAATGCAAAATAACGCATTATCAAAATATTCGAAATTGAGTTTTATTTATATAGATTATGTTTAACTACTTCGTTTTATATATATGTATGTACAAAACTTTATGCTTTCATACCGTAGTGGACATATAAAACCGCAGTCAGTAGGAAAATTTTAATTCTGAGTCAAAATATTCTTCCAAGAAAAAAAGTGAAAATAACAGTATCTTGTTTGTGCTTGTAATAAGCGATAAAATAAATTATTACCCAAAAAATATTAATGTTAAATTTTTCAGGAGGAAATTTTATTCCAATTTGATCATATTAATAAAATAAGTAATATTCTACAAACTTGATCACAAAATTCTTTAAAATAGTAATATCACAATCAGTGTTTGTTTTTATTTCTTAATTTTACTCTATGTAGTGGGAAATACCTCTATTAATACTTTGCTGCATTTTTTTTTTTTTTTATTTAATCACCGCTCTAATCCTTGCTGTCATTGATGATATAAGCTTTTGCACTAATCCAAAGTCCATGTCATCATACCACGTCTTCAAAAGTGCGGAAGCCAGTTCTTGTTTGTTCTTCGGCTTCTGTGCGGCGAGCTGTTTCTTAATAATCCGTCACAGATTTACTATTGCGTATGAACCGGGAATGTTGCCGGGTCATGCCAAATGCTTTATCCCTTTTTCATTCATAAAATCGAGAAACTATCAACAAATACAAGGCAGAAAATCAAAATTAGTTATAATTGAGATTTATAGCAGTGGTAGAACTGAAAAAAATTTACTTATGATGTTGGCACTGTGACGCCATGTCGCACGCAGAATCGTGTCGAAAGATGACGCCGTTTTGGTGTTGATACAATTATATCTGATAAGTATTGAAAGCGATCCAGTCGACAAGACCGTCAGATCAGCCTGTCGTGAGCGACTGTCGTTTTTTTAGACCCTTCCAGACCCTTTTTTCCGGTTAAAAACATCCGTCTCCCAAAATTTTTTCATGCAGTCTGCAATAGTAATCTGACCGAAGTCCACAAAGCGCGTTACTTGTGTGGAGCATTGATTCCGCTGCGATAAGGAGCCCTTTAGTGACAACAGTAATTTCTCGTCGTTTTGAAGTTTCTATATATAAATGTTTTCTATATATATAATATAACTGCACTTTCACAAACTTTTTACATACACAATTGGTATTTCAATGCTGCAAATCAACACTTTACGACAGCACCATCTGCATACGTATACAAGAAAAAAATTAAAATTTTGTTTCAATATGATTATTTTTTATTTTTATTTTTCCTTCTCCTGCAAACTTACGATAAGTGATGTTAGGTTATTTTGTAGTTTCGCTGTGGTTATGTACATATTTATATGGTACTTCTAGAATCTTTAAGAAAGCCTCTTAATTACGCAAAGCCGCCACTACTTCATCAATTTAAAAGCACCATTTAATTTATCACTTCAACTTTTCACATACAAATCAATTTTCAACTGCAATACACAAATATGCAATACATTTGTATAAACTTGTATGTATGTAAGTATTCGCCTGCATATCGTTGTCATCGCTGTTACTTTACGGTCATTTCAACAAACAGCTGAAGTCCACGTTGTCAGCGGAGGCTTTCCTTTCTTCGGTTGGCTGCACTTGAGCACTGCAATGCGGCGCTAACTCCAATCAACACAACTGCTGTTCGTGAGGCGCAACAACTTTGTTGCCACTGCTGCAGCCGTTTGCTGTTGCACATTACTTTTTTACTTTTTTTTTGCTGTGTCGTTGAAAGCATTGTCGCTAAAAATAGCTGTAATGAATTCGCAATAGCAATTTAATTTAGTTCATTGGCTTAAGTTGAGTATCTGTGTCGCCAACATTCACACCGCTGGCAATGCGCTGGCAACAGCCGCGCATGGAGCTTGCATTCAAGCGCTCAGCATTTATTATTCGATTGATTGACTGGCGGTTGGTTGTCTGTCCGCATGATCATTGGCTTTGTTGTCAATGTTACTGTGTATTCGTCGCATTTATAACGCCTGTCTACTTGCCGCATACATGTGTACATATATGTATATATGTGTATATAGGATTTTTGTCGTGCAACTTGTTCTGCAATCGTTTGTCTGAACGTTTATGTTTTCACGTTAATGCCCACATAAATATGTCTGCTGATGCGAGCAAGCAGCTGGCATTTGCTAGTTAGCTGGCCGCCTAGCTCACTTGACTAGCTCTATCCACATATGTACTTGTATATATGGTAGATGCTGTCACACTACCGCTTAGTTTTGCGCTAAATCATCCGGTGACTTCTATACAGCTTTCGCAATTAAATGAATGACAGCCAAGCACACCACGGATGTTTGTTCGTTGTTGTTCAAATAGAAGAACCAAAAAATGCGAAGCGAAAAGAAACCCAATAAATAAAGTGCGGCAGAACTTTCCCGCGTAAACAATGTATATATACATGCAGTATATTTTTAAATACACCGTAGTGAAATCAACTAGCTTTAAACTACTACGCAACTAGTCCGCAAGTTAGTTAGCCGACTGCCTTTTTCCATATTAGCATTTATTGTATACTTACGCGAAGTCAATGTCAATCAGAAATATAACAGTTGTATATTAGTTCAAAGTACTCACAGCGTATTCACCGGCAACTGCAAAGCCGATGAGCTTGCCTTTATCCGGATGGACGCGAGTCGGTACTCCGTTGTTCTCTTGCGCTCTAACGCTGGATCCATTAACCTCCCTGGCAAGCGCTGGTCTACAACCACAATCTGCGCAGCTGTGAATCCGTAAGAAGTCCTCTCAAATATTCGCTCTTATTAAAGTCAATCTCGCCGTAATTGTGGGTGTCCTGGCTGGACATTATCCAATAGGCTCATACGCGTTGCGCCTAAATATTTTGTCGGACGCTCTTTGTCAAAACTATATAGAGGAAGAATCATCTAAGCACTTTTGCGAAACGAAGATTGAAATATCTCAGTAAACACAATAGTAGTACAAATAAGTATTTTTTCGGACTAGTTCGGACTAAAATAATAGTTGCTTCTGCATAAATGCTTGCTCCTACTAAGAACTGTGCACTTCTTAAATTGCATACTGCGCCTTGCCATTTCAGGAGCTTAGTTTTCACTTATTTATTACTTGCGTTTGTACATATATATTTATGTATGTGCGACCGGCAAATGCAGACAGTGAAGCTGAAGATTTTATTTATTTAGTTGCAAGTGCTTTTGTTGCAATTTCTCCAATTAGCCAGCATTTTCAATTTGTGGCAAGCGGATTTGTGTAAGAATGTAAGATGTAAGTGTGTGTGTCTTGATTAGCCATAAGCGGCAATAGTAGACAAAATTGACTAGCACTTTTCTTCGAAAATAAGCACTTATGCACCATATACGCTTATATATATTTTTATCGCATCAATTGATATCTTTCTAACATAGACATTAATTTTCCCGAGTGTTTACTTTATACTTCTAAAAAAATTTAAAATAATATAAATTCATTTACGCTTTCATCGAAACTTCAGGCTTTCTAATTCTCTCTATTATATATCTATAATAAGAACTTCCAACGAAGATGTAGCTGGCAAACAAATAAATTCTATTTTTTTTTTTTTGGTGAAAGCTCTGAAAGCTGCAAGTAAAAGTTTGGAAAAGTTCTTTAAAACAATTTTTGTATAAAAGCTGTGAAAGCTAAAATTGAAAGTTTGAAAAAACTAATCCATATATTCATCTAATCTTGTGTTTCTCCAAAAGCTTCTAACTATTAAATAAAATTTGCATAATCGAAAATTTTCATGCTTTTACCATCAAAGTTACATGCTTTTACTAGGAAGGAACTGTACCTGTTAAATATATATATAAATGATCAGCATGATGAGCTGAGTCGATTTAGCGGACGATTTGTGCGTCTGTCGTTATATACGCGAACTTGTCCCTCAGTTTCCGAGATATTGATCTGAAATTTTGCACACTTTCTTTTCTCTCCAAGAAGCTGCTCATTTGTCGGAAGCGCCGATATCGGACCACTATAACATAGCTGCCATACAAACTGAACGATCGGAATTGAATTCTTGTAAGAAATCTTGTGTATTTGTGAGGGATATTATAGCTTCGGTGCAACCCAAGTTTTTTAATCGTCCTACATACATAGCTATCTCAACATATGGCTGTATTACATTTATAATTTATATTAATGTAACTCATGAAAACTTTTTTGCTTAAGGAGCTTAAAATACTTCTTAAGCTTTGGTATATTGGAATGTGAACTAGCGGCGCTTTTTGTGATAGCTAAATATTATATATCTCCCTATAAAAATTTACATATACATTTATATACATATGTTAATTTTTATACAACTGTAACGGCAATAAAATGCCGACAAATTTCTATGGCAACGATATCATTAGCAAGGTTGGATTGAAGCAACCTTATGAGTTTCGAATCATGTATATACATATATATGTATTAGATTTCTTATAATATAATATCCGGTTAAACTGAGCGCAAAACTGTATAAATATGTATTTACGATAAACTTTGTAATTTAATTTAATAAAATTCCTTATTGGTTTTAAAAAATTGTTAACAGAACTTTCACTTAGCTTAAAAAGTTGTTTCGCCTTATACAGTCAGAATTTGTGATAGTCACGTTGCGCATGTGAAAATAAAATTTTCCAATTTCTAAGCTATTTTCACTTTCCTACCAACAGGATGCAAGCGTGCTGCCTGCAATGAATTCATCACCGACATTTTTGTAATTTTTTTTTGGAATTTAACGATCTTTCTCTATAATTACAATACTTCAGAGCTGTCTGTTCAGTTTTTCCTTGTAACATTTTGATATTTATTGTATTATTGAACTCACAATAAAATCCAAGAAAATCGTCCAATGCCTCAGCAATATGTGTGTATGCTCGCTAGCGCTGAGCATTTAACAAAGCAAATGCGCTTATCAGCAATTAACATTTGAGCAATAATCGCGGCACTTAGCTTATTTGGAATAATGTAAAAGGTTTTTTATTTGCTTGAAGGTGTTGTAATGTAATTTATTATTCTAAATAAAATTAAAATAGATTTGATTACATATACACACAAAGTCAGTGTGTATATATGTATACTAATGCTTGTACGAGGTAAATATATTTACAAGTATGTTTTTAAATTTGCTGACAAGCTAGATGTACAATATTTATTGAGTATATATACTTACAATACAATAAAGCTTACGTTTTCCTGTTTTCCTACGTGAAAAGAATTTGTTCTTGCGTTATCGCCAGCACTTCATGTGGAATTCATGTAAAGTTATTCATATGAAATGCCTCAAACAATTCGCCTTGCACGATACAATATTTATATCCAGAACAGGGTATATTAAAATTGCCACAAAGTTTGTAACACCTAGAAGGAAACGTCGGAGGCTCTATATATACCTAAATGATCAGCGTGATGAGCTGAGTCGATTTGGCCGTGTCCATCTGTCTATATATACGCGAATTAGTACCTGAGTTTAAGAGATATCGATCTGAAATTTTGCACACCTTTTTGCTCCCCAAAAAGTTGCTCGTTTGTCGGAACCGCAGATATCGGATCATTATAGCATATAGCTGCCATATAAACTGATTGATCGGAATCAAGTCATTACATGGAAAACTTTTTTATATTACGAGATATCTGAACGAAATTTGGCAACGGTGATATCTCCGAAGAAATTGTTCTAATTGGATCGCTATAACCTATAGCTGTCATATGAAACTAACCTATCAAAATCAAGTTTCTGTGCAGAATATTTTGTATATGTGAAGGGTATTATAGCTTTGGTGCAATCGAAGTTGAAATTGTTTCTTGTTTTATGACTCGTTTGCTGTTTATCGATATGCATATACAATATATTTTTTTTTTAATATTTTATGAACATTTTGTTGCACTCTTATCGTCAACGAGTTATCAGCGGCACGCAAATGCGCACTTAGTTCATGTGCACAGCAACAACAACGACGATAAATAAATATAATGTATATTTTTGTATGCCAAATATGGAGGCGCGACTACGCGCTTAATGTATGTACATATGTAGTTTTATACATATATGTACATATATAGATATTTATATATGTATGTGCTTCAATATATTTTATCTGTACAATTTTGTCGTCGTTCTTTCGCATTCAAAACAAAAAATGTTCTCCCATTTTTACATATTTATCTATCTAATATATGTTTATGTTTTGTATGTGTACATAAGTGTTAATATTTTTACACACCCACTTTTGTGCTAACTGCACTGTACATACCATCTGCAGATACTTTAAATATTATCTTTTTGTGACTATTGCAACAACCTTGGCACATTTCTAGCCATGTGTGCAGCAGCTGGGGAGCCACAAGTGCATCTGTGTTTAATTGTAGAGCTTTTTTCCAGCGTTTAGCTGTTTCGACTTTATCTCTGAGTTCACATTTTAAGTCATGCTACCATCTAATGATTTATATTAAATCATTAATATTTTTAATTAACAATTTTATTACAGTTGCAATTATGAAAAAATGTATACAATAAATGTGCTTATATAAACCTTTGCTTTTGTTGTAATTTGGAAAAAATACTTTAAAAAAATTTTTGCTGGGTCTGAACATATTATATTTGTGTTTTAGCAGACTGCTTGACTAGCTGTCCAGAAACACGAAAGTTTCAACTAGCTTGTTTCTATTAGCTAATTAAGTAAGATTCCTTATCAAGTACTTATAAGCTGATAAGCCTTAAGCTTTTGCAATTAAAAGCTTATCTAAAAATGCTTGTTTTGAGTGCTGAAAAGTGTTCTAGCTACTCTTTAGACTCAACGAAATTAAAGTATATTATTTTATTAAACGAAATTTATTGCTTATAATGTATACAAATATACATTTTTTTTTTAAGTTTTATAGTGTCCGTTTATATTTAAACTTTTTGTATTTTTTTTTTTAATTCGTTGATTTTCAAAATGCTTCATTCCATGCATTTATGTTTGTTTACTATTCAGAAAAAAAGTCAAAACAAAATTTCTGGTATGACATCGTCAAAAATAGGTTCGTTAATTTTGTGTAAGAAATATTCATACATAATTCACATTCGTGTGCCGGTTTTCCACTGATAAGATAAAAATAATTATGATGGCCTACTATTTGTTCAAGTGCTTTGACAATGTTTTGAAAAACAAAATTTCACTACTTTAAGTAAAAGAAACAAAGAATTTTTGTTTTCAACTGCCAACTTTGTAAACAATCAATTAAGTGCACGAATAGCTACGGGAATTTGGAATTTCCAAAATATACTTAAAGAAATGTGTGGTTTTGATATTGGTTTTTCCATTATAAATATTAATGTATGTATTGTACTATATATGTGTATATATATATTATTATTTTAAAATAACTTTCGTTAATGGAAAGTTATTGACTTCGAAGTTGTATATCTATAAAATACCCTACACAGGTGTTTTTCTTATGCCAAAAAGGGGCATAAACAATCTTTAACTTGATTTTGATTGGTCAGTTTGTATGGCTAAGATAATTTTACAAATAAAAAAGTTTTCCATACAAGAACTTAATTTGCATCGTTCAGTTTGTATGGCAGCTGTGTTCTATAGTGATCCGATATCGACGATTCCGACAAATGA